TTGTTTTTTGCGCTATCCACTTGTACCAGCGTCTCTCATACCTCATCTCTTCACCTCGTTTTTTCTCCCTCTCTTCATCTCCTATTCTCTTTTCTGTTTCTCCTCTTCTTCCTCTTTTTCTTCTTTTGGTCATGGTTGGTTACACCGGGTTCGTCAGCCTTTGTCGAGCTTCGAGTCGGCACGTCTTTTCGACTCTCTATGCTCTTGGAGAAGCGTTTTAACCACCGTGTTACTCACGGGGTGGTGGATATGCTAGTTTAACAAGGTTTGTAGACTACTGTTGGGTGTTTGTCTCTTCTTCATGATCGGCAGTGCTCGCGAAGTTTTGCGATTTTTTTCGATTTTTTCCCCTATTTCCTCTCTTTTTTCACTTCTCTCTCTCTTTTTCACTTCTCTTCTTCTCTTCTCTCCTTTTTCTACTTCTTCTTCTTCTTTATTCCTCTCCCTCCGCTGGTTGCAACGTACTGGTTGGTGGTTTGGTTAGTCTTCATAGGATAAGCTTAGGCGCTGTGTTCAGCGACGTATCGTTCATGGCAGAGGGCGGACTAAGAGGTGGGTATGGAAACTGCTACAACTGCGGGAATTATGGACATCATGCCAGGTGGTGTCCACACCCTCCGCGCAATGATGGGTACGGGGCTGGCCAAAGGCAAGATGCTGCGTATATCCAGGGGCAACCGATCTTCAATTCCGCACACGTGCCCTCGGCTCCCCCGCTTCCCTCTGCTCTCTCACTCCCTTCCGCCCCTCCTCTCCCTCTCCCTGCTCCTTACCCTGCTCCTCTCCAAGGATCCCAGCCGGCTATCCTACAAGCTCCGACTTCAGCAGTTCCGAGTACGAGCGCTCCATCTACCTCAAATGCCATAGTGCCTTATCAGCCACCGCGCGACAATTTCGGCGGGAACAATGCACGTGGCTGGAATCGACCGAGGGATATGGGGTCCGACAGCGAGGCGATGATGATTTTGAGAGAGATTTGGAATGACCGACGGGAGGAAAGGGAACGCAGACGCGAGGAGAAGGACAGAAGGAATAAAGAGGAACAGACGAGAATTGCTCGAGAAGAAGAAGAAAAGAGACTGGATGCTGAAGAAAAGAAGGAAGCTGAGCGGGAAGCCAGAATGGCTAAGTTAGTTACGGATCAGATGGAAGAGATTGAGGCAAATAAGAAAGGTGCCTCCGGGGATGTTAGTAAAGCGGGTTGGGATAAGATAGAAAGAGATGTGAAGTCTCCTAAAGAAGGGGAGACCGTAAAAAGTAGTGAATGTGAGGATCGCAAACGTGATCAGGTTGCGATGGGTGGAGAATCCGTGGCTTTTCAGCAGCAGGCCATCGGAAGGCAGCGGGTTGGTAACGAAGTAACCTCGCTCGATACCGGTTTGCTGCATATGGATCTGGACAGTGTCCGAAAGGTACAAGAATCCCATGCATTGCTGTTCCAAGAGATGATGTCATGTTTAAAGACGATAAAAGAACAGGGCGCTGCTCTTCTTACCCCTTCGACATCTCAACATCACCCTTCCCCGTTCGCTCCTCCTCCCCCTCCTCCTCACCACCCCCCACCTCAACACCCCATAACCTTGCMCTCCGACCCTCAGTGCCATCCTCCGGCTCCTGCGGCTCCTCCTCCCCCGGCTCCTCCTCCTCCCCCTCCACCTCCTCCTCCACCCCCTCCATCCCCTTCCATGCATAACACCAATCCTGTTCTCGCAACCCCCGATCCTCAACCACCACTCCATCGACCTCCCCCTCCCCCTCCCTCCACCTCCACCCCTGCTCCAAGTAGAGTTGGTGCTGCCACGGAACCTGGTCTCTCCCGCCCACGGAGTGATAGTGTCGAGACCCCTCTAGGAAACCGTTTTTCAACGCGGTTGGCAGGTATGTTCGCCTCCGTCGCTGGCAACACAGCTAGGAGATGATCTATTACTATCAATGAAAATGCATCTCAAGGTCTTGGTTTCGACCGCATCAACAGGGGGAAGAAGGTGGTTGTTGCTGGATCGGGAAAGGCAGGCAAGGTGAAGTACATTGATGACTTGATTGAAGTTCTCATGCAGAAGACCAAGCATGAGCTGAAAGATTTGTGCAAGAAGGATCGTATAAAGTATGTGAATAAGAAAATCATTACTGCTGCTTTGGTTAGACTACGTGCGATTGAGGCCTACGGTGATGAGGAAGAGGAGGACCAGTCTGAGGAGGAATCTCAAGAGGAGAACCCCTCTTGATGATCTGTGGATCTATTTGCAATTTGGTGTCACCTGGAGCGTTTGAGAATTCGAAGAAGAAATGAAGGGTGGCAAGGCAGACGGGCTTTTGAGACTGATATGCTTATGCGTTTTCTGGTTTTGACGCTAGCATGTGCTGCTAAGCTGCATTGGACTGACAAATTTGTTGGCTGTTGGAAGGACTCTTTGAGTCGGGGTATAGACCTATGTGGGTGGGACGGCCCGTGTGTGTACGTAGTAATATCTCCATCATTCAAAGTTACGTATGTAGGGTCCACTACACGTCCACTTAAAAGTCGATGGGATGAACACATTAGAAGATCTATCCAGTCTAAGGATGGCAGGAACCACAAGGTCAAACGTTGGTTCCAACGGAATGGCTGGTATAACTATGTGGCCATTCCTGTTGCCTTCCCTTTATGCAATGAGATTCGAAGAGTTGAGGAAGCTATGATTTCTAGATGGAACCCAGCGCTGAACTGTGCCAAAAGAAAGAGACCATGCAAGCGCAAAGGGAGGAGGGAGCGCCGTTCCTTTCAACGGCAGAATGGGCATGCTATGATGACTAGAAGATTGGACGTCAGGACTGTTTGTTGGGAGTCTTCTCCTATCTCCCTTCCTATCCCCGATCCATGGGTTTCCTCTTCCTTGTTTTTTTCACTCGCTGAGATTCTAAATAAGTTGGCTACTGATGGTGTTTTGCACGTTAATCTTCTCAGTTCTGGAGGGTCTTATTTTTCTGACTCTTGGGGATGAATTAAGAGGCTTTTTGGTTGGTTCATTGTAGAATTTGAGAAGAAAAATTGTTTACTGAAAAATCTCAAATATGAGTTTTTGAAAGGAGGCCTTTTTCATATCATACGTTTGCGGAAGAAACTGTCTATGACCGGCTTGAGACGTAATATACTAGCTTCCCTTCTGCAAGTGCCTAGCACAAGGGCGGGGCTCTATAAGGCTAGTCTGCATAATTTGATTAAGCTGTACGTTTCCAGTGACACATTCCTCAGAGATAAGTCCCGGACTATTCTTAAAGGGGTGATAGGAAGGGCGCTAACATCAATGTGCGGTTTTCGGTGTCTAGCCCCAAGTGTGGTGAAAATGATATTTGACGATCAGATCTGCAAATCGACCATTTTTGAATTAGCTAAAGTAGTGATCAGGAAACGCTGCACTAACGATCTGCTTGCTGATTTTCTGATTTCGAGGTTAAGGGTGGTTTGGACTAAGAACAAATCTCTGGGTGACTTACTGCACAACCACAGGGCTATGGCTAGAGTAACCTCTAATGAATGTTCATGTGAAAAGGCCAGCAGGTTTTTTCCTCGTAATGACGACGGTCACGTTTTTTCCCGTTTTTTTGAGCTACCTGATCTTCCCCTATCTCTGAAGAACTCTCGAAACGTTTTGCGTCCATCCCGAATTCAGTCCGTTGGTAGGATTAAAAACGCACAGGTTGAAGGGTTGTCCCATATTCTGAGTGTGGATGGATGGGTTGGAAGTTCTCTAATGGTCCGTTCTTGCTTCGTTAATAAAAGGAAAGTTGAATCCTGCCATGAAGGAGTGGCAACGAATTGGAAAATATATTTGGAAGGTTTCGTTGCTTCGCCTATTGACCACAACATTGACGACACTCTGGTATGCTGTGCTACTATTTACAATGGAGCTCTCGCGAAGTTATACTGGGAGAATGAAGGTTTTCCGGTTGTTGATATATCGGAGCTGGAGGTTCTGAAGATGTGCAAGGAGAAGTTCCATGAGATTCGGGCTCAGAGGTTGGCTCCATGGAACAATCAAGGGACTTTGGGGTCTGCCTATGGAATACCAAAACACAAAGATGTCACTAGATGGAGACCCATTGCTCCCTCTTTTTCTGAACCAAGCGTTCGTGCTTGTAAAATCGTTTCCAAGGCAATTAATGGGCTTCTCTGGAGGGTTCAGGATTCCTGTCATTTTAATTTAAAAAGTACAGACCTTTTGAAGAAGCGTATCGAGTTCTTGAACCGGAAGGCTTAGAAGCATGTCGACGGAATTATGCTGTCAGCGAGTTTTGATATTAAAGAAATGTTCACGAAATTACCCCACGATGCCATCATTCGTTCTGTTGAGTGGCTGTGTGATTATTTCATTGGTAACGGTCGTAATTCTATTAGAATTAATAAATCAGGTAAAGGAACTTCTTTTGGTAAAGCCTACGGAGAGCAAGGCTGGTGCCAGGTAAAATTTTCTGATATTATTCAATTTGTCGTCTTTTATTTAGATCACACCTTTTCTAAGGTATCTGGTCGTATCATTTGACAAATGATAGGCATCCCTATGGGTAAAACTTCTAGTCCAACCCTAGCTTGCCTGCTCTGCACTTACTATGAGTTTTCTTTCCTGAACTCTTTAGGTAAGAACCGCAATTCGATTCAAGGTTTAAGGTTGGTCGATGACGTTGCTCTATTTATAACTCTGCCTAATAGATCTCAATCCTCTTTTGGCAAAGCTAGGGAAATCTATCAGGGCCTTATCTCTATTTATGACAAGAATTTGTCGTTAGTCCGCACTGACTCCCGGGACGGTATATGGGAATTTTTGGGATGTAAAGTTGAGTGCCAGACTTTTACGCCTAAGGCACGGTGTGAAGGGACCACTAAGAATCAAGAATCCATTTGGACAGAGAAAGGTGCGATATTCGTATCCACGCAAGATTTCTGGTCTTATGGACCTAAATGCCAGAAAGTGGGCGCTATTAAATGCCAGATGAATCGGGTTCTGACCCACTCCTCGGATTCCAGAGGAGTGGGTCTGTTTCTAATCTCTTTTAGGAGAGAATTAAGGCTTAAAGGGTTTCCTGCGAAGATTTTTTTGAAGGCCGCTGACGATTTTTCTGCAACAAATTTTGGGTGCTGGGACGGTTGGGTCCGTATCCTCCGTAAAGGGGTAATGGAATACGGCCGCTGATGAGTTCTCTCGAAATTTTTTTGGTGCTGGGACAGTTGGATCCGTATCCTCCGTGAAGGGGTAATGGAATACGGCCCTGGTCTACGAAAAATAACAGCTGCGGGATTTGTCACTACCTAGGCGCTACCGACACGAGGACACGAGCTGAATATCGTTTTCTGC